AGAGGCGGCTGGGGTGACGTCAGCCGCGTCTGGCACCTTCTCGCCAGGGGCGCGCTCCACGCGCTGCTGCTGACTTGGGCGAGGTGCAGCGGCTGGAGCTTCGCTCGCTTCTCCTCCGAGCAGAACCTCCACAGCGGTTGAAGGCGCCTTCCTTTTTGGGCGTCGGTCGGGTTCCCCCGATTTTTTTCCGGACTCGGAAAAAGGTCGGGCGTTCCCGTTTGTCCCCTCGTCTTGGTTGGTATTAGTCGGCGCCATAGTAGATAGGTTGTAGTTGAGGATGTCCGTTAACAGAGTAGAGGGAGACTGGAAGCGAGGGAGGGAACGAGTCTTCGCCAGCTTGACGGGCAAAAGCTGAACTTGAAATTTCGAAAAATGAAAACGTGGGTGAGGCCAAATGGCCGAAACCCCTTCTTTTGTAGTCGGAGAAGGGCGAGTAGCGCTTCGACGATGGCTTTTTGTGCTGCGTACAAGCTGCTGCGCTTTCACAATAAGTCATTTTAGAAAGTGTACCGTCATACCCCGGATATAAGCGCCACCCGCGGATAAGCGCCTGGCGCTTTTAATCGGCGCCCGGCGCTTATATCCGGTGCTCGATTATAAGCGCATACCTAAAAGGCTTACAGATTATAACCGCATACCTGTGCTGTACACATTATAACCGCCCCCCTTTGTTTTTAGTGTTTTTATATTTTGAAGATATCTAACAATATTAAATCTACATCTAAACATCTTTTTAACACTATTTAAACAAATCTACCTACATCTAAACATTTTTTTTCACTATTTTAACATCTAATAGTCAATTTACATCTCATGTACTTCTACCTACAAGCCTCACATAGGCTTGACCATTTTCTATCTACCCTCGCAGATCATCTGCCGTAGTGGGGTCATCTGGGTCGGCGTCAGAGTCCGACTCAGGCTCTTCCACGTTGTTGCAGAAGAAGCCGTCTGCTGCAATTTCATCATCCATGTCGACCTCCTCGCCCTCGAGCTCATCTCGCCTGTGTTGCAGGCAGAGCTTGTCCTGGGACCCATCCAGGGCGTTGCTGATGCCGCAGGTGAGGAACGCCCGTTGGATGAGCTCCTTGGGCACGGACTTCCAGGCCGCCGAGATCCACTTGAGCGTCAGCTCGACAGGAGGCTTCTTGATGTTGCCTGCCACGCAAATCCAGAAACAAAGTTAGAGGGAGTTAAATAAAGGAAACACAAAGTTACAAGCTGCACATCTCACCTTTCTTCGTCAGGCTGTCGACCCCCTCACGCTCAAACCACTCCTGGTAGAGCTGGCGGACGGCGGCCTTGAAGGAGCGGTTAACCGCGACGTCGAGGGGTTGAACCTCCGAGGTGCAGCCAGCAGGGATGACCGCAGGGACCACGTTGAGCTCGCCAAACTTTTTCTTCACCTCCGGGGTTAGGTGCCCGCGGTACGAATCGAGGACGACCAGAACCTTCTTGGGGCGGACTCCGAACTTGGGGTTGATGTACGGCTTCACCGCCCCGTCAAGCCACTCGATGACCCCGTCCGCGTCCATCCACCCGTTGGGATGGACCCCCACGTGGATATCTGCACACCAAAACCACCATGTTAGAGAAAATTTATAAACACACATGCCACGGCGCAATCGACGTGTGGTGCATACCTGAAGGGAAGTCTCCTTTCGGGACGGTCTTCCTTTTGAAGAAGACCCACGGCTTCAGTTTTTCCCCGCTGGCGGTGCAGGCGAGCATGACTGTGACCCGCTCCTTCTGGTAGCCGCCGCTGCGGACGGGGATGGAGCGCGCGCCAACCTCTTCAACGGTGCGTTCGGATGGCATCTCGAGCCAGAGTGGCGTCTGGTCCGCGTTTAGAATCCACGGCAGCTCGATTCGGTACTGGCGGCGGGAGTGACGCACGAACGCCCAGAAGTTCCTCACTTCATCCTCGCAGTCTGGGACACGGGATGGGAGGAACAGAAAGCACAAACACAGAGTAAGAATCGTGTATCGAGAGCACATTGACACATGAACACGGCCATGAAACTCACTTGCCGAGAGCTTCTGGCCGACCCGGGTCTTCGCTCTGGTCGTCAGGTTCCAGCGGCGGCGAAATCGCTGAGTCCACCGCTGAGAGCCGGCCCACTTTTCACCTGGGTGTAGCTCCTTCATCACCTCGTGCGACCACTTTTGAAGTCGTGCGATGGAGACGGCGAGGCACTTTTTGCGGTGGGCGAGAAACCGACGGTACACCTCCGCTTCCATGTCGCGATACCACGAGCTCCTTCCGCGGCCGTGCAGGCGACATCGTGCACCGTGCGCGCCCTCAAGCTCAGCCTTGCGGTTCTTCCACTCCGTGAGGCACCTTCGGGAGATGCCGGATACGCGAGACATGCGCCGCACACTCATGTCGCCGGCTTCGAGCTTCAGAATCCATTGCAGCTTCTCCTGCGACGTGTATTGAGAAAGCTTGCTTTCTGCTCTTGCAATGGCAACGTGCTTCATTACAGTTGCAATGGCAACGTGCTTCATTACAGTTGCAGTGATTACATCATTCTCGTCCAACCTAACTATAGATTATACAAAGATACGACTAGGGTGGGTGGGTGGGGGATGGAACTGCAAAGTTCCGAAATGAAGACGTGGGTGGAGGCCAAAAGGCCTCCAACCCTCGTTATGTACTCGGCGAATAGTAATTCGCCGTTGCCTTGCTTCGCTACAGTAAGCTGCGCTTTCACAATACACATTTTTAGAAAGTGTTACACACTTTCAAAAAATTTCATATTGAGAAAGCTTGCTTTCTGCTCTTGCAATGGCAACGTGCTTCATTACAGTTGGGTTTACTGAGACATGTGTAGTTAGGAGCGGTGAAGGCGTGCTGAGTCTTGTTAAGGTTGATGGCCTCGACGAATTGCTGAGAGAGGTGGCGTTGGTTGGTTGCGATGCGATCGCCATGCCGGTAGGTTTCGGAATGTTGTGTATGACGGTTGCTCGTTCCATTTATGTAGATGTCCCTGGTTGTTGGCGCAGCAGAAGAGTGTGGTTGAAACTGGTGGTTGATGTTAGCTGCCGAGGGCGTGGATGTTGACGTCTCCCGATGATGCCGCGTGATTGAAGTGTGGATAACAGAGCGACATTGCATGCAAGTGATTTTTGTATGACGGAGTTAGCGACTACTCTAGAATTATTGTCAAGAGCTGCTTTTCACGTTCGCGATTGTCCGCGAGAGCACACGAGAGGCCAAGATTGCCAATGAAGCCTCGTGACTGGCATACGATCGTTAGAATGAAATCACCAAGTGGATTAGCAGGCGGGATGGCTTGGGATGGGTGCATGAGGCGCGAGAGCCGCATTAGGAGGAGTGTAAACGCAGAGGTATGGCTTTGTATTACCATTGGGGACTTTGAGAAGTTCGCCGGATGGTAAATGATCGTATGTACCGTATGATTGAGCAATAAAAACCCGTACAAGAATAAATGTTCCAGCCAGGATACTTTCACAGAACTGCGTACTATGTATACATCACACCTAGAATCAATCATGAGTAGGTCATCTAATGTGGGAGTTCCAGAAACATCACAACAAGGCAGAAATAAGCGATCACAAACCTCGGACTCAATGTGAGAGCAGGTGTACCGTATCTCTGTTCCTTGTGTGCGTCGAGGGCAGCATATGAAGGCCTTAAAGCCGTTGTAGATTCATTTCGACAAGAACAATCTTTTCTCAAGCCATGTTCAAGGTGGTTTGTAACCAAGACTTCCAATTCGAGCATTTTTTAACAATCAAGTACAAAGGCACATACAAGGACACGTACGGACAAAAACGATTTTGAAAGGCATTATACCGGCAGCCAAGGATGGCATACGGTAAGTCCCCTTTTTTCTACATAGCACAAGCTTGTCGCAATGTGCATATACTCCTTCCTTAGCGCAATGACCCGTGTGCCAGCTCTCGTGTCTCTCTCTCTCTCTATCTCCGCATGTCACGAGCCGGGACCCTCGGTCCCCTTCCCCCCATGGGGAACGGCCCTCTGGCCAGCCGGGACCCTCGGTCCCCTTCCCCCCATGGGGAACGGCCCTCTGGCCAGCCGGGACCCTCGGTCCCCTTCCCCCCATGGGGAACGGCCCTATGGCCAGCCGGGACCCTCGGTCCCCTTTCCCCCATGGGGAACGGCCCTTTGGCCAGCCGGGACCCTCGGTCCCCTTCCCCCCATGGGGAACGGCCCTCTGGCCAGCCGGGACCCTCGGTCCCCTTCCCCCCATGGGGAACGGCCCTCTGGCCAGCCGGGACCCTCGGTCCCCTTCCCCCCATGGGGAACGGCCCTCTGGCCAGCCGGGACCCTCGGTCCCCTTCCCCCCATGGGGAACGGCCCTCTGGCCAGCCGGGACCCTCGGTCCCCTTCCCCCCATGGGGAACGGCCCTCTGGCCCGCCGGGACCCTCGGTCCCCTTCCCCCCATGGGGAACGGCCCTCTCGCCCGCCGGGACCCTCGGTCCCCTTCCCCCCATGGGGAACGGCCCTCTGGCCAGCCGGGACCCTCGGTCCCCTTCCCCTCTTGGGAAACGACGCGGGGATGTGCCAAGCGTTGACACTCGTCCGTGCGCAGATATTCCTGCAAACTGTGATCAATGAAACGCGCGACAATCCAAAAAACCAGAGCAGAGAAGACATATAATTATTGACCAAGTTGAAGAAATGGAAACACATACCCGTGTGGCAATAAAAAATGATAATAACGGTGCAGGCGTCACGTCCGCATTGCCGGAAGAAGTTGCAGGGGTTGATGTAGCGGAGGCGTCCCGTCATGTCCGTGGCGTTTTCGCCTTGTCACACCACGATTTTTGCAGGCGCGCCCTTGCAATCTGTCAGGCTCGACTGTGGCAATTTCGTCATCCGTCGCGTTGGTGGCGATTTCGTTGTCAGTCTCGTTGGTGGCAATCTCTTCAGGCAATTTCGTCGCCAGGCGCGCCACTGGCGGTTTCGTCGTCAGGCGCGCCACTAGCGCTTTTGTCGTCAGGCGTGCCTATGGCGATTTCGTCTCCGGGTAGCTACCGATTTCGTCTCAAGGGAGCTGGCGATTTCTTCTCAGGGGAGCTGGCGATTTCGTCTCAGGGGAGTTGGTGATTTCGTCTCAGGGGAGCTGGCAATCTTGTCTCGGGCGCGCTGGCGATTTCGTCTCAAGCGCACCACAGGCAATTTCGTCTCAGGCGCACCATTGGCGATCTCGTCTCAGGCGCGCCTGAGGCGATTTTGTCACTTAGTCAGGGCCCGCTGGGTCACGCGCGCCCGCTGGCAGAAAGGTACAGCTGTGGGCGCGTATAAGCCCTCTTAAAATCGGCATTCTGGTGCAAAGCGCCATCGCCTTTTATAGAAAAAGAGAGCTACGAATGAGAAAGTTGAACCAGAATGCTAGGAGAAAGTGGAACGACGAGGTGGTTGGACGAGAATAGGATGGAACTGCAAAGTTCCGAAATGAAGACGTGGGTGGAGGCCAAATGGCCTCCAACCCTCGTTATGTACTCGGCGAATAGTAATTCGCCGTTGCCTTGCTTCGCTACAGTAAGCTGCGCTTTCACAATACACATTTTTAGAAAGTGTTACACACTTTCAAAAAAATTCATATTTGTTGCGCTTGTGAGTTGACGGCTTGTGCCTGGGGGAGGGAGGACGGGCATCACGATTATCGCGAGATGGGTGAGGCCTTTTCTTATTCGGAGGAGGAAAAGAGGGAATTGGAAGGTGCTCGGGGAGACCGTCAGCAGCCCAGAACTCCACGTCGTCGTCGGCACCGGTAGCGGATTCGTCCAACGGGCAATCAGCCGGGGCTCCCCACCGTGGCTCCGGTGCGGAGGAAGATCCTTCGCCGCCGCTGCGGTCAGGCTCGGACAGGAAGGCGTCGAACGCCGAGTAGCCAGGGGGGAGGAGAAGCTGCAGAACCCCCTGTCGCGGAACACCAACAGCAGGCGGGTCAGGAGGGGACGGAGGAACGGGAGGAATCGGAGGCGCCGGGGGAGCGGGAGGGGTAGGAGGCGTAGGAGGTGTTGGAGGAATGGGAGGCGCTACTGGTTGTGACTGAGGGACGGGCGCAGGGCGCCTCTGCCATTGAGACCAGTCACTGGTGTCTTGGCGGGTTCTTTCTCTAGCAGCAGGCTGGCGGCGGAACAAGAAATGCGTGCCTGAAAGGCCCGCCATGGCCAAGGCAGGCCAAACGAACGAAAGAAACTGAACCAAACGTTGACAATGAGGGCCGTATGAAGCCCTCGCCCGAGACCCCTTCAGTTTCGCGGCCCGGCTTCCTCTGCGGGGAAAGTGTGGCCACAGCCAAGATTCCCCGCAGAGGAGCTGAGCTGGGCAGCTCTTTGCCTCGGTGGCAGGGTATCTTGCTGTTGATGGGCACGCCGTGGCTGAACCACGACGTGCCCACGATCGCATGCAACCCTGATTGGGCCGCTGTGATGCGAGGTACGTGTGCGCAGGCATGCGCTAGGTTCACGTTCGATGAACCTGGCCTGGCCAACAAGGCGTGGAAGGCGTGTTGCCACGCCTTGTTGGCCGTTTCACGCGCATAGCATGCACAGTTCCGAACGTTCTCGACTCAGGTGAATTCGCCTTTGTGAATGCTTCGATTTGGTATATTTAAAAACAAATTTCATTTTTGTCATAACATAAACGCCGGCGCTTATAAATTTACTATATTATAAGCCCACCCCCTAAAAAAAACACGTTTTATTAGTGCCCCCCATGGGGGTATATCCGGGGTATGACGGTAACACTTTCGAAAATATACATATCCTTCAACTACTAAATTGCAGAATAGATGATGATGGGTCATTCTGGTTGGTTTGGATAGGAATACATTCCCTCTATCCGAAATTGAGGTGAATATAAACATGAAATACTAACCAATTTCTAGGAAGAAGCGGTTTGCTACAAAATCACATTTCTATAGATTACCACTTGTTTTTTACTGAATGTGAAGCCTATCAATAATATATTTTCATCAATTATACTAATCTATATTACCATATTATACCCCTAGGCATTCTTTCACTCATATAGTGTTGCAGCTCAAATAGTCGCTAATGTCAAATGAGCCTTGAGAGATCTTGGAAGGTCAGCTTGATAAGAAACAGGCCTTACTATGAACCGTAGTTCAAAGTGGGTTGTACTTTAGCGGAGTGAACAGCGGAGCATCGTCACGCAGTTTCATCAGCCTCGAGGTTTTCGCGTCAGCCTTTCTAGGCACGGCATTTCGTCATTGGCTCCTCACCATGGCGGCCCGCCGAATCCCGGCTACCGTCGCCGCACTTGCCGCCGCAACTGCCGCTGGATTCGCGTCCGCTATCGCCGTTCTCGTCCTCTCCCGGCCGCTCCACTCGCTTCCCGCCATCCTCCATGCCTTTCTCCTCCGCATCCTGCGCCGAATCACACGCACCCTCCTCCCTACTTGCGGTGGCTTTAACCTCCTCCATAGAACGCGATCCGTCCTTTCGTCTATCGAGGCGCCTCCAGTCTCGTCGCTCCCCTCGTCGCCCAATCAAAATGCACCGCCCACATCTCAATGCCGAGCGGACGGCTGCGATTTTCTCCTCGCCGCTGCTCCCCTCGATATTGACGGCTCTGGAAATCCCCCCGCAGCAGATGCGACTGGCCTTGCGACCAACCGTGCGACCCTTGCGACTGGTCCGGAGGCGGCGTCGCACAATCTCTACGGGCCAAGAGCTGCGATCGACCGGCGTGAAAGCCACGACGCTTCGCGGAAAGGGCGCGACGCGCGCGATGGGCTGGTGGCGGCGATCGGCAACACGCCGCTGATCCGCATCGCGAGTCTGTCCGCCGCCACGGGCTGCGAGATCTACGGCAAGGCGGAGTTTGTGAACCCGGGCGGCAGCGTTAAGGACCGCGTGGCGCTTCGGATCGTGCAGGAGGTAAGTCCGTAGGAGGTGCGTGGGGTGCGGGGAATGCGTGGAGCAACAAGTGTGGGTGCGCGAGGTGCACGCTTGCATTGCATGGACGGGGTGGATGGGCGTGGAGCATCGAGATCTACGGCAGGGCGGAATCTGTCAATCCGGGCGGCAGCGTCAAGGACCGAGTGGGGCTGAGGATTGTGCAAGAGAGGTATGTTGTACAATTCTTGGCCTGATAAACTCGTAGTGGTTCAAAAACTCAAGTTCCACCCTCCTAGGCCTTTTTCCTGCAGTGCCTTGTCTTTTCCTATCCCCATCGCCGCGGTTTTTTTCCCCTTTTCCCTCGCCAGGCGCTCGAGTCCGGCAGCTGAAGGCCGGAGGGCTGATAACGGAGGGCTTCTCAATCCGGACTTTCCCTCTGCTTCCTTCTCCTTTCTTTCTCCTTCAATACCCTCTTCCTCCGCCCTTCTTCTCTCCCCTCGCCAGGCGCTCGAGTCGGGGCAGCTGAAACCGGGGGGGCTGATAACAGAGGGCAGTGCGGGCAGCACAGGTGTCGCGCTCGCATTGGTCGCCGCGGCGTTTGGCTGCCGCTGCTTTGTGGCCATGCCAGATGACGCTGCTGTGGAGAAGGCCGAGGCAATGAGAGCACTGGGAGCTGAGGTGGGTACTTGAATGCCTCCAGGGTTCGAGATGAGAGCCTGACCATATGCTGTCCTGCAATGCCGCTGCTTCGTGGCCATGCCAGATGACGCTGCTGTGGAGGAGAGAAGGCAGAGGCAATGAGGGCCCTGGGTGCGGAGGTGAGGTGGGTGTTTCTACTCCAGTGACCTGCAACACACCGCAAGTGTATAACAAGGCTGTTGCTGCTTCGTGGCCATGCCATGTCGGACGATGCTGCTGCGGAGGAGAGAAGTCAGAGGCAATGCGAGCACTGGGCGCCGAGGTGAGTCTTCATGACTCAAAGTCCCCCCAACCTCTGCGCTTTCCCTCCCTCCCAGGTGGTAGGCAGTCACGTGTGCGCTGTGGTGTGGCCATCACCCGCCCGCCCACCCACCCACCCACCCACCCACCCACCCACCCACCCACCCGATGCAACATGTCAACTTTGTGAACGTCGCGTTGTGAAGGCAGAGATTGGGATTCTTCTGAGTCGACCGACCACCAGACCCAGCACAAGTCACCGCCACGCTCCCTCTCCCTCCTACTCACTCTCTCCCCCCTCCCTCTCTTAGGTTGCTCGTGTGCGTCCTGTATCCATCACCCACCCCATGCACTTTGTGAACGTTGCAAGGCGTAGAGCTGAGGAGGCAAGAGGGGGAGGAGAGGCAAGGAGGAGAACGGAGGAGGACGACAAGGGAGAGTTGCGAGGCGAGGGGGGGGAGATGAAAGAGCAGCAAGGGGCGGCAGTGGGAGAGGAAGATACGACAGAGAGGGGACGAGGCGGGGAGGGGGACGTGCAGGAAGGAGGAACGACAGGAGGAGAGAATGTGACGAGTGAGAGCAGTTGTAGGTATTCCTGCTGCTGCCTTCCTTTCCCCCGCACACACCTACACGCACCTGCACACACCTACACGCACCTGCACACAACTACACGCACCTGCACGCACCTGCACACAACTACACGCACCTACACACACCTACACGCACATGCACACACCTACACGCACCTGCACACACCTACACGCACCTGCACACACCTACACGCACCTGCACACACCTACACGCACATGCACACACCTACACGCACCTGCACACACCTACACGCACCTGCACACACCTACACGCACCTGCACACACCTACACGCACATGCACACACCTACACGCACCTGCACACACCTACACGCACCTGCACACACCTACACGCACCTGCACACACCTACACGCACCTGCACACACCTACACGCACCTGCACACACCTACACGCACCTGCACACACCTACACGCACATGCACACACCTACACGCACCTGCACACAACTACAGACACCCACAGATACGTACACATGCCTATGAAGCCTCTTCTGCTTGTCTTGTCTACTTGTTGCAATACCCATCACTGAGTCAAAGCAACGGGTACACTTGCTCGCCCTCCTCCCCTTTCTCGCCTCCCTTCTTCTTCCCCCCTCCTTCAACACATCAACATACCCAGAGGCGCCAGTGATGCTGCCAGCAGCAGAGGCAGCGGTATCTACAGTGGTAATGGCAGTGGCAGCAATAACGGCAGCAGCGGCAGCGGCAGAGACACAGACAGTGCCTGCTGCAATGGTTGCATAGTCGGAGCTGCCGCTAGCACCTGTTACCGTAGCTGCAGCATCGGCATCAATGCCAGCTGCTGCTGCTTGGATTCAAGTCCTGCCTGCACAGCGACTACTAGCAGTGGCTGCTCCGTTGACCGATCTGACTCTATGGCCAATCGTGCTGTGCCATGTGGCAGCAGCAGCAGCAGCAGCAGCGGCGGCGGCGGCGGCGGCGGCAGTGGTTTCTTTGCGGATCAGTTTGAGAATCTGGCCAACTACCGGGCGCACTACTGTGGCACGGGGCCTGAGATCTGGAGGCAGATGGGCGGCGCAGTAGATGCCTTTGTTGCCGCTGCTGGCACTGGAGGGACCATTGCTGGGATCTCCTGCTATTTGAAGGTGTGTGTGCCTGTGGGTTGCTGTGAGTGGTTGTGAGTGGCTGTGGTCAGAATCTGGCCAACTACCGGGCGCACTACTGTGGCACGGGGCCTGAGATCTGGAGGCAGATGGGCGGGGCAGTTGACGCCTTCGTTGCTGCTGCTGGCACTGGAGGGACCATTGCTGGAGTGTCGCATGTTACTTGAAGGTAAGCAGGGCACTAATATTAGTGACCCGAGCATCGTGTGATCATTGGTGGGCTGGCTACGGGTCTCTTGTACAAGGTCACAGTGTGACCGTCACACGCGGAGTGCTGTACACGCGGCAGGAAGTGCAGGGGAAGCGCCCGCCTGCGCGATGTTCCCAGCCATGCAATTTGACACGTCCTTTTCTGTCATGTTCCCTTCCCTGCTTCACCCACTGCAGCGGCAGAACCCAGCCGTGAAGGTCTTCTTGATCGACCCACCTGGGTCGAGTCTCTTTCACAAGGTCACCCGGGGAGTGCTGTACACTCGGCAGTAGGCAGAGGGGAAGAGGCTGTGCAACCCCCTTGACATGTCATCTGTGTCGTGCTTCTCTCTTTAACCCACCCACCCACCCACCCACCCACCCACCCACTGGAGCAGAACCCGGCAGTTAAGGTCTACTTGATCGACCCTCCCGGGTCATCTGGGTGTACTTTGAGTCGACTGGAAATACATCTGTTATGTTCCCCTGCTCCCGCCACACTGCAGGAGCAAAATCCTTCAGTGAAGGTCTACTTGATCGACCCACCTGGGTCGAGTCTCTTCCACAAGGTCACCCGGGGAGTGCTGTACACGCGGCAGGAGGCGGAGGGGAAGAGGCTGTGCAACCCATTCGATACAATCACAGAGGGCATTGGTATCAACCGGCTGACGGCTAACTTCAATGCTGCGCGGATCGATGGAGCGTTCAGAGGGACGGACAGGGAGGCCGTTGAGATGGCGCGGTGCGTGTGAGATTGGGGGTGTGTGTGGGTAGGGAAGGGGGGTGATGGGGGGAGAGAGGAGGAAGGGAAATGGGTTGTGAGGGAGAGACGGATTGTGGGTGTGCGTCTGGCTGAGCAACCCGTGTGACACGATCACAGAAGGCATTGGTATCAACCGGCTGATTGCTAGTTTCAATGCTGCGAGGACTGATCGTGCGTTCAGAGGGACGGATAGGGAGGCCGTTGAGATGGCGCGGTGAGTGTGTGGGGTCAAGGTGGGAGGGGAGGGGGGGAGAGGAGGGGGTGCGAGAGAGGGACAGATTCTGTGTGTGTGGCAGTACACCCCCCTTTGGCATGAACTTGGGAGGCGGAGGGGAGGCGCCTGTGCAACCTGTGTGACACGATCACAAAGGGCATTGGTATCAACCGACTGAAGGCCAATTTGATTCTGCCAAGATTGATGGGGCGTTGTGAGGGATGGATAGGGAGGCCGTTGAGATGGCCCGATGAGTGCTTGTTTCCCGGGTTTCTGAATGTGTGGGGGCAGGGAGGGAGAATCTGGGATGGGGGAGAGGGGGGAGGAAGAGGAGGGGGTGTGAGAGGGACGGATTGTGTGTTTCGGGCTGTGCAACCCATTTGACACGATCAGAGAGGGCATTGGTATCAATTGGCTGATGGCTGAATTCAATGCTGTGCGGATCAATGGGGTGCTTAGAGGGACAGAGAGGGAAGCCGTTGAGATGGCTCGGTGAGTGTGTATTCTCGGGGTGTGCGAGTGGGGGCAGGAGAGGAGGGGAGGGTGGAGGGAAAAGGGGGGTGTGAGAGGGACGGGTTCCGAGTGTATTTTCGTATGCAACCTATTTGACACAACCTTTCCTGTTATGTTCCCCTGCTTCACCCGCTGCAGGAGCAGAACCTGCCATGAAGGTCTACTTGATTGACCCATTTGACACGACCATAGAGGGCATTGGTATGACCTGTGTTGGCGTCGTGCTTTTGAGGCGCCTCAAAAGACGACCATAGAGGGCATTGGTATGACCTGTGTTGGTGGCGTCGTGCTTTTGAGGCGCCTCAAAAGACGACCATAGAGGGCATTGGTATGTACTGTGTTGGTGTCGTCGTGGTCATGGCAAAGAAGCCCTCTCTCAGCCACACGCATGGCACCCACTGCAGATAGCTCGCTCTCAGTCGCACAAACCTCCCTGCGTCCCCCTCTCCCTCGTTTCCCTCGGCTACCTTTTGCAGAACGACGGGCACTTCATCGGGTCCTCTTCTGCCATGAACAGAGTGAGCGCCGTGCGAGGGGCAGAGAGGCATTATCTCAATAACACACACCTCCCTGCGTCCCCCTCTCCCTACTTTCCCTCAGCTTCCTGCTGCGCAACGATGGGCTCTTCATCGGGTCCTCCTCTGCCATGAACTGTGTGGGCGCCATGAGGGTGGCAGAGAGGCTTGGTCCCGGGCACACCATTGTGACCATGCTGTGTGACAGTGGCTTCCGGCACCTGAGCAAGTTCCATAATGAGGGGTATTTGAGGGAACAGGGGCTCTTGCCCTCTTCGAAAGGGCTTGAGTTCCTGGGTGGGAGATTTGCAGAGCAGGAGTGATTGGGGTGACTGTGGTCCAAGGCACAGCATCGTGACCATGCTGTGTGACTGTGGCTTCCGGCACCTCAGCAAGTTCCACAACGAGGGGTATTCGAGGGGCCAAGGGCTCTTGCCTTCTGCGACAGGGCTTGAGTTTCTGAAAGATTTGCGGAGCAGGGGTGATGGTGGTACGGGGCAGGCCATTGGGATACCTATTGTGTTCATGTTGTGTGAAAGTTGTTTGCTTTAGTAAGCATCCCAGCAAGTGTTACGGTGAGGAGGGCTGTAGTTCAGGGGCTAAAGGCTCTTGCTCATTGTGAAAGAAATGACTCTAGCAGGCACCAATTCTGTACTATGGTGATGTGATGTAGCATTGGCATACATGCAACAGATGCCCTCCCACACCCACATGCAATATCACAAATACACACACAAGACAATCCCAGATCCACATACTTCTCCTCCACCCTGCCTGCATTGATCACCCCACTACATGAGAGGCGAAACCCTAGCATTGCACTTGCACCCAGGTGCTTCTTATTACACCTTTTTAACAATCTTCCCACAAAGCGCATACATGTTATTGTCGCGTCCTATAACTGCATATGCTCCATGTCGTACATTATACGTAAACGAGCCAAGGGTGGCAACTGAGTTTATGTTCTTCTCATCATGATATCGAAAGCTGTAACGCTTGCGGCGAGAATCGGGTCTTGTAATGTTGACAAAATCGATCGGGTCTGAGCTGGATCCTGCGGAGCAGGATTTCATGTAGTCAACGCTGGGACTGTTGTTTCCTTCTATCTTGATATTCAGCAGAATTATCTGAGTGACCCCGTTGTACGACGTTGGAGAGTATCTTGTAACGGGGGGGGGCCAAATAATAATAATAATAATAATAATAATAATAATAATAATAATAATAATAATAATAATAATAATAATAATAATAATAATAATAATAATAATAATAATAATAATAATAATAATAATAATAATAATAATAATAATAATAATAATAATAATAATAATAATAATAATAATAATAATAATAATAATAATAATAATAATAATAATAAATACGGAGAGCATTGTGGTCAGTGAGTGTACTGCGTAGGCGCCCCCCTCATGCGGACGTCTCAGGGAAAGAAATGGCCCCCAACTTGCAACACTCTCAATCAAAGTTGATGGTGATTCCACAGGACCCGCATCAGCCGGCCGCAGCGCCAGCTAGTTCCTCCATGGATTTTCTTCAATTTGTAGCATGGTTGGTCACCATGGGAATGGGATGGTACCACGCCCCGAGCAGTCATCACCATGATGGGGATGGGATGGTACCACGCTGTCAAGATAGGTTGCTAGGGTTTAGTCTTAGGAGGTAGGGTTTATAACTCTGACACACGCTGCCGAGCAGGTTCTAAAGCCAAAATCATCATCAGGGCAGTCAATCAACTGAGCTGAAAAGAGGTCTAGGTGTTAGCCACGCCAAGTTTTGGTGCGGGTGGAACAATTGAACGACGGGACAGCGGCTTACCTCACTGCCTTGAGCGTCATTTTCCCCCGAGCTCATGCGTCACCGACCACTTTCCCGTTGATCACAGTCGGACGCAGTTTGGCCACATATTTCACTGGCAATGGAAATGGAGGCATCAAGAAGACGAAAAAGGTTGGTAGCTGCTGAATATGAGCTGACGTCATCATAATTTGAAACGAGAACGCAAGGGCAGAGAAGGAAGTGATCGGGAAGGACACTCACAGACTGTCTTTCCCTTATAAACCAGGGGCCTGGCATGAGCGACAGAAGCGGTGGTAGCAGCAGTAGAAGGACCGCCTGTTTGAGAGAGGAGCGGCGCGAGCAATGGTGTGGCCGACGAGCTGTAGGCCGTGCAGACTGCCGCACCTGCAAAGGAGACAGGCAGGCAGGCAGGCGGGCAGGCAGGCAGCGCGAATTAAGGCGTGACGGGGCACGAAATGTCCAACGACGAGACGGATCGGCCTCTAATCCGGCGACCGTGATAAAAGAAGTGCTTTGGAATTGAGACGTCTCAAACCGCTTCTTTAATCACGTGTCTAGCGACGTGGCAGATCATCAGCCTTTAATCCGACCAATCATCGGTCTCAGTGAGATATGACAGAAAACAGCGACATCCTCCATTATCATGAGAGATTGATGCCTGCAGCGCAGCAGCGAGGCACTCAAAGTTGCAGCAGCAGGGCTTACAGAGCACCAGGCGGCAGAGGAGAGATAACGTGCGGCGCTCCATGATGCTCTGGTCTCGAAAGCTCGTCTGCTAGGGTTTCGCCAGAACCACTACTAATGAGGAACCAGGTGGTAGCATTTTGTAGCGTCTTTTGGATTGCCAAGTACCTGCCTACAATCAGCCTGCGTGCACGAATGTATGCGCTGCGCCGCACAAGGGAGTGACACGTAGGCCGATTCTAGTAGGGCGCTTCAACTTCCAGTCCGCGAGCGACACCTAGCAACTTCGATACCTGGTGAAGATAAGCCCGTCAAGACACTACAGTCGCTGAGATTGTCGGAAGCTGAGGCTGGCTTGCCCGCACCGCACGCCGTGCGGGCCCTACGAACAAGGCGACCAACATGCAGCTGGCGGCACAAACGGGCGGCTGATCCTTCAACACTAAGCTGCACGTGATGAAGGTCAAGCGTATACACCCTGTTTCTCGCCATAGTGAATCCTGGTATACTGTATTCCCCGTTTCTAGAAACTCACCATGCTCGGCTGCTGGCTTTGCAGAATCTCTCTCGCCATCCTCACACACTCCCCCCGTTTCCCCTCACCCTCCCCCCCTCCCCACAGCAGCAAGTGCGGCAGTGGGAGAGAGAGGAGGAGGGGCGGTAGCAAATCACTCACACCCGCCACCCCCATACCCTCCCCCCCACTGCCGCACGCGCAGCAGGGAGATGAAGGGGAAGGGGGGGCGGGGTAGGAGGTGCGCGGGCGACAGCAGGGCGCGCTGGCGGGCAGAATCCGTCGCACGTCCAGGGCGCGCGACGGGCAGAGACCGTCGCACGCCCGGGACGCGCGACGGGCAGAGAACCGTTGCACGCCCGGGGCGCGCGACGGGGACGAAATCGCCGCACGCCCGGGGCGCGCGACGAGCAGAAAATCGACGCGCGCCCGGGGCGCGTGGCGGACAGAAAACCGACGCGCGCCCCGGGCGCGCGACGGGCAGCAGAGAGGCCCATGAGCGGAAGCGTAGTGGTGGGCCCTATGAGACAGGTCCTAGGAGAAACCTTGCTCTGATAGCATGTTGAGAATAGGGGGCTAAGGAAAGCCTAGGGTTTAGGCTTAGGAAGGTAGCGAGAGGAAATGCAAGCCAAAAGAGGAGTTCAATAGTAAAGGGCATACAAGATATAGGCAAGGAATTAGGCAAGTGGTACACCACCTAGCAAGAAACTAAGATAACTACACTAGGTACTGTAGGCATTTATATGAATGTATACAAATACATTCCGACAGAGCAGATACACCCTATTCGCGATAATTGCACACACCCAACCCTCTTTTTTGAAGGTGCCCTATACCGATTCAGGCTCGATTAGACGGACACCCTGAAACTCAGGGACTATCATTCGACAGCGAGATGCAGTGTCTCTTGAAATTACACCATGTGTTCCGAGTGAGGACGGGATTGGGTAGGCGCGACTAAAGTTTGTAATGCTTACGTCTATTCGCGACTGGGTTTCGGAACACCCACCAGCTGTTCAATATTCGCAGCGAACTACCCTGCAAGAACGTTTGTATCCCGGATATGTACCCCCAGGGTGTGCGTTTAAGGGGTGTGAAATTATCGCGAATAGGGTTGTAAGGAGGACCGTCTTCAACGACCGCATATCCTCGTCAGTGTCTTATCCCTTGAATGCCCAACTTGTACGCGCTAGCGGCAGAGTTCTGTAGGCACACAATTGAAATATTCTGCAGGCACACAAGTTCTGAGTTTAGCTGATTTGTCACTTCGCTAATATCCTGATGGAAATTAGATACGGTAAAACTTTCGGGTACATACAATACTTATTATCTTACCACATTCTCCAAAATTGAGCAGATAGTTTGAACCTGATTTTCCAACTTGATGGCGGATAGTTTCTCTCGATATGTTCCTCTCGTCACTCTAGTCCTATCCTTAACCCTAGTCATAACTACTGGTATTCCGACAAACAAGACTGTCAAGAGAGTTTGTGTACCCCCTAAAATGTAACTCACTACAGCCTATCTCTAGCCAACATAGAGTTACAAGTCAGCGTTACCAACAGATGCCCACATCCACGTACACCAGGTCTTTACTCAGGTCAAGACATGCCCAAATGCGCACGCACTGAGTTTCTGGTCGGTCAAAACATGCTCACATCCACATGCATCTCTACCCTGCGGCAATCACAGCACCACATCAGGGCTCTCGCTAGGTTTTGGGGCTGTCTGACAGTACCCTGAAATTTTTTTCCCCCGTCTTATGCTCGGACGACGAAACTTCCGTAGTCTGCATTATAAGCTGGAATATTTTTTCTAGTCTGATAACCAAGACGAAAAAAAAGTTCCTGTTAAAAGTCAACCTACTGCGAGGTTGGGGTACGAGTGTGTGGGGGCAAGGGAGGGAGTGGAACAAACGGCCACATTCCACGTATTGTCAAATGTTGTAGCCTATAGTGAGGTTTGTCTTAGGGGGTACAAAACTTAGGGTTAGCTATATGTACCCCAACCAACATCAATGCACCATCCATTCTTCATTCTGACATGGTATCAGTTAGGTTAGGATCCTGTGGGATCCCGTTCCTCCGTTCTCCGTTCGAGCCTCCCGAGCCTGATCCTAGCTCTCATTCGTCCCGGTTCCGTTGTTACCGCGCGTAGTGCCGCGCCTAGCGCCACTCCTAGCGTCGCGTCCTGCCCGCCCTTTCCCCCTCGTCGCGTCCCTTTCCCCCCGTCGAGTCGCGCCCTTTTCCCCCCGTCGCGTCGCGCTCTTTCCCCCCGTCGCGTCGCGCCCTTTCCCCCCGTCGCGTCGCGCCCTTTCCCCCCGTCCCGTCGCCCTGCCCCGTCCCGTCCCGTCTCCCCGTCCCGTCGCCCTGTCCCGTCTCCCCGTCCCGTCTCCCCGTCCCGTCGCCCTGCCCCGTCCCGTCCCGTCTCCCCGTCCCGTCGCCCTGTCCCGTCTCCCCGTCCCGTCTCCCCGTCCCGTCGCCCTGCCCCGTCCCGTCCCGTCTCCCCATCCCGTCGCCCTGCCCCGTCCCGTCGCCCTGCCCCGTCCCGTCGCCCTGCCCCGTCCCGTCGCCCTTCCCCGTCCCGTCGCCCTGCCCCGTCGCGTCGCCCTGCCCCGTCCCGTCGCCCTGCCCCGTCGCGTCGCCCTGCCCCGTCGCGTCGCCCTTCCCCGTCCCGTCGCCTCTGCTCCGTCGCGTCGCCCTGTTTCGTCGCCTCGCGGCCCCCCGTTCCGTCGCCACCGCCCGCGCCAGCGCCAGCAGCAGCTACCGCCAGCGCCAGCAGCAGCTACCGCCAGCGCCAGCAGCAGCTACCGCCAGCGCCAGCAGCAGCTACCGCCGCCCTGCCCTTTCCCCCGGCCCGTCGCCCTAGCCCGTTCTTCCGCTGCGACTAAGTCCCCCCCCACCTGAACCCTAATTTGCCTCTTACCTCCTACTGTTACTCGCCTGCTCGTTCGCGTTAGTTCTCGCTATGGCGACTCCGCGAGTTCTTCGTTTCGACGCTGACGGTAGACCTCTTGACTTTTCCGTCTGGCTTCTTCGCGCTCGCCGTCTGTTAGAGAGTCAAGTCCAGGGGGGCGAGACCCTCTGGTCGCACGCTACTGGTGACCTCCCCGAGCCCCCCGAGCCTGCCGCTTTAGGTCCTGCCCCTGACGATGCTGCTACGGCTCGCTTTGCCCGTCAGCGCGCTGACAGGACGGCTTGGACGTCGCGTGACGCTGCGGCCTGCATCGCACTCAGCAGCCTCCTCCCTGAGTCAGAGGAGGTCCACTTCACTCAGGTTCGCACCGCTGCTGCGTACCTCACTGCGATTAAGGCCCGCTACTCTACTCCCGCTACTGTCTCTCTTGGCCGTCTTTTCCTCCCGTTCCTGTTTCCTGATCTCGCCTCGTTTGAGCGCTCTGCTG